AAATATCCAACTGTTTGGCATCTGAATGACATCCACTCGTTAAGATCAGCATTGTCTGATAGGTATATGTATCATGACGGAAAATTCACACTGAGTGGAGGATGATGAGGATGCAGGAACCTATACAAGTTGCTATAAACCTAGCACTGCTTGAATGCCTGTTCCTGTGCCCCCAGAATATCTGACCAAGCTAGACCAGCTTTTCCCCACCCTTGATGCCTTTCAAGGATTATAACAATTGGAATTTCAGGCCAGGATGAATTGAAATTCTGGGATGTGGCATCTCAACATATCTGGAGTGCTAAAAGTTGGGTTAAGTTCATTTCAGAATGAGAAGGGGAGAACAGATCATGTGGCCTTTAATAAGTTTTTCATCTGCCTTGTTCCTAATGCTTCCCTGTTGGTTGCCTTGACCATTTCCTTCTCTCCTTCCTTCCAGGTGCAGCCAGAAGTCGAGGATTTAGATCCATCACTGTTGCAGGAGTCCAAAGGGGAGAAGCCAGAGGAGAAGCTGGGGAAACTCCAGTATTCACTTGATTATGACTTCCAGAGCACACAGGTGGGTAGGGCAAACACATGCCTCAGCTCAGATAGCAGCAGACTGATCTTCATGTGTCTGTCAATTTAGGAAGGCTGCTCAAACATCATCCAGAAAATAAGAAATGCATTGTCAAGAAGAGACAAGTTCTGCAAAGTAATCTGCACATTCTGATTCATAAATATTGATACAAATGGAGAAAGAATTACTATAATGTAAATGGAAATACGACTCTGTATAATGGGAAAGATTGTGACCAGGCCATTGTCCCCTTTCTGCTGCTAACTCTGAACAAGCATTTGCAGTGCCTCTGATCCTTCTTCTTATAGTTTAAAAACATACTTGAATTAGAGAGACTTCCAAATAGGACAGCTGGCCAACTTACTTTCATTAAGCTGTATTCCCTATCTAGAGTCATTACCAGTCCTTTCATCCTATCCTATTGGCAATACTTGAAAATAAGGGTGCAAGTAAAGGTGAGGGAACGTCATACAGGAGCTCAGCAAAATAATATACATTTCATGTACTGAAAGTCCCAGATTCCATCCCCAGCATCTGCAGCTCATAGGAACCTAGCTAAAATAATTGGAAAAACACCATTTCTTCCTGTCACCCTAGCTGGTTCTATGTGGGCAGTTATCAAACAAAATACATTCTCTTTACCTCCTTAATGGATGGGGGGGGGGGGGGGGGAAAG